GCAGAAGGAAGGAGATAATAAAGATTAGAGCAGAAATAAATGACATAGAGACCAAAAAAACAATACAGAAAATCAATGAAACCAAGAGCTGGTTCTTTGAAAGGATAAACAAGATTGACAAACCTCTAGCCAGACTCACCAAGAAGCAAAGAGAGAGGACCCAAATAAACAAAATTAGAAACGATAGAGGCGAAATAACAACAGACCCCACAGAAATACAAATGATTGTTAAAAAATACTATGGACAGCTCTACTCCAACAAACTAGACAACCTGGAGGAAATGGACAAATTCCTAGAAAAATACAACATTCCAAAACTCAATCAGGAAGAATCTAAAAATCTCAACAGGCCAATAACTATGGAAGAAATTGAAGCAGTCATCAAAAAGCTTCCAGCAAACAAAAGCCCAGGACCAGACGGCTTCACAGGGGAGTTTTACCAAACATTCAAGGAAGAACTAAAACCTATCCTCCTCAGACTACTACAAAAAATTCAAGAGGAAGAAACACTTCCAAGCTCATTCTATGAAGCCAGCATCACCCTAATACCAAAACCAGGTAAAGACAACACAATGAAAGAGAATTACAGACCAATATCCCTCATGAACATAGATGCCAAAATCCTCAACAAAATCTTAGCAAATCGGATCCAGCAGTACATCAGAAAGATCATACACCATGACCAAGTAGGATTTATCCCAGGGATGCAAGGATGGTACAATATCCGCAAATCAATAAACGTGATACATCACATAAACAAATTGAAAGAAAAAAACCACATGGTCATATCAATTGATGCAGAAAAAGCATTTGACAAAATTCAACACCCATTTTTGATAAAAGCTCTCAGCAAGGTGGGAGTAGAAGGATCATACCTCAACATAATAAAAGCCATATATGACAGGCCCACAGCCAACATCATACTCAATGGACAAAAACTAACACCATTTCCCCTAAGAACAGGAACAAGACAGGGATGCCCCCTCTCACCACTCCTGTTCAACATAGTACTGGAAGTGTTAGCCATTGCAATTCGGCAAGAAGAAGAAATAAAAGGCATCCAAATTGGAAAAGAGGAAGTAAAACTGTCCTTATTTGCAGACGACATGATATTATACATACAAAACCCTAGAGACTCCATCAAAAAGCTACTGGACTTAATACATGAATTTGGCAATGTAGCAGGATACAAAATTAACCCCAAGAAATCCGAGGCATTTCTATACACCAATAGTGAACTTTCAGAAAGAGAGATTATAAAAACAATCCCGTTTACCATCGCACCAAAAAAATTAAGCTACCTAGGAATAAACTTAACTAAAGAGGTAAAAGACCTCTACTCAGAAAACTACAGGACGTTGAAAAAAGATATAGAGGAAGACATAAACAGATGGAAGAACATACCGTGTTCATGGATTGGTAGAATCAACATCATTAAAATGTCCATACTACCCAAAGCAATCTATAAATTCAACGCACTTCCCATTAAAATACCAACGGCATACTTCAGAGATCTAGAACGAACTCTCCAAAAATTCATCTGGAATAAAAAAAGACCTCGAATAGCTGCAGCAATCCTGAAAAAGACCAAAGTAGGTGTGATCTCAATACCAGATATCAAGATGTATTACAAAGCCACTGTTCTCAAAACTGCCTGGTACTGGCACAAGAATAGGCATATAGATCAATGGAATAGAATAGAGAGCCCAGAAATCGGCCCGAACCAATATGCTCAATTAATATTTGACAAAGGAGGCAAGAACATACAATGGAGCCAAGATAGTCTCTTCAATAAATGGTGCTGGGAAAATTGGACAGATATATGCAAGAAAATGAAACTAGACCACCAACTTACACCATACACAAAAATAAACTCAAAATGGATAAAGGACTTAAATGTACGACAGGAAACCATAAAAATTCTAGAAGAATCCAAAGGCAACAAAATCTCAGACATATGCCGAAGCAATTTATTCACTGATACAGCTCCTAGGGCACTTGAAACTAAAGAGAAAATGAACAAATGGGACTACATCAAAATAAAAAGCTTCTGCACAGCAAAAGAAACCATCAACAAAACAACGAGAAAACCCACTGTGTGGGAAAACATATTTGCCAATGTCATATCCGATAAGGGCCTAATCTCCAAAATTTATAGGGAACTCATACAACTTAACAAAAGGAAGATAAACAATCCAATCAAAAAATGGGCAAAGGACCTAAATAGACACCTTTCAAAAGAGGACGTTCAGAAAGCCAAGAGACATATGAAAACATGCTCAAAGTCACTAATCATCCGAGAGATGCAAATGAAAACAACAATGAGGTACCATCTCACACCTGTCAGACTGGCTATCATCAACAAATCAACAAACGACAAGTGCTGGAGAGGATGTGGAGAAAAAGGAACACTTGTGCACTGCTGGTGGGAATGCAGACTGGTGCAGCCACTATGGAAGACAGTATGGAGTTTCCTTAAAAAACTAAAAATGGAACTCCCATTTGACCCTGTGATCCCACTTCTAGGAATATATCCCAAGAAACCAGAAACACCAATCAGAAAGGATATATGCACCCCTATGTTCATAGCAGCACAATTCACCATAGCTAAGATCTGGAAACAGCCTAAGTGCCCATCAGTAGATGAATGGATTAGAAAACTGTGGTACATCTACACGATGGAATACTATGCTGCTCTAAAAAGGAAGGAACTCTTACCATTTGCAACAGCATGGATGGAACTGGAGAGCATTATGCTAAGTGAAATAAGCCAGTCAATGAAGGAAAAATACCACATGATCTCACTCATTCATGGATAATAGAGACCATTATAAACTTTTGAACAATAATAGATACAGAGGCAGAGCTGCCTCAAACAGATTGTCAAACTGCAGCAGGAAGGCCGGGGAGGGTTGCGGGGCAGGAGGTAGGGGGGTAAGAGATCAACTAAAGGACTTGTATGCATGCATAGAAGCATAACCAGTGGACATAAGACATTGGGGGATAGGGGAGGCTAGGGGACTGTCTAGGGCGGGGGGATAAAATGGGCACATATGTAATACCCTTTGTAATACTTTAAGCAATAAAAAAAAAAAAAAAAGCCCTGATCTGGATGGCTTCACAGAGGCATTTTATCAAACATTCAAAGAAGAACTAACTCTATTCCTCAAACTTAAAAAAAATCCAAAAGGAAGGAGCACTTTCAAGCTCTTTTTATGAGGCCAGCATTATCCTAACTTCAAAACCATATAAAGACACTACAAAAAAAGAGAATTATAGGCCAATATCCCTGATGAACATAGATGCTAAAATCCTCAACAAAATATAAGCAAATTGGATCCAGTAGTATATTAAAATGATCATACACCATGACCAGTGAGATTCATTCCAGGGATGCAAGGCTGGTACAATATTCACAAATCAATAAATGTGATACATCACATAAACAAATTGAAAGTCAAAAATCACATGATCCTTTCAATAGATGCAGAAAAAGCATTCCACCCCAACACCATTTTTTTAAATTCTTTATTGTGTAAACTATTACATATGTCTCCTTTCCCCTCATTGACCTCTCTCCAGCTCCTCCCACCCCCATCACCAACACCCATTTTTGATAAAAACGCTCAGCAAAGTGGGAATAGAAAGATCATACCTCAACATAGTAAAGGCCATATATGACAAACCTATGGGCAACATCATATTCAATGGGCAAAAACTAAAACTATTCACCCTAAGAACAGGAACAAGATAAAGATGTCCACTTTCACCACACTTATTCAACATAGTACTGGAAGTCTTAGCCACCGCAATCAGATAAGAAGAAAAAAATGAGAGGCATTTAGTTTGGAAAGGAGGAAGTAAAACTGTCATTATTTGCAGATGACATAATATTGTACATAGAAAACCCTAAGGACTCCATCAAAAAACTTCTAGATTTAATAATGAATTCAGCAATGTAGCAGGATACAAAATTAACATGCAGAAATTGATGGCATTTTTATATACCAATAATGATCTCTCAGAAAGAGGAACAAACAAACAAAAAATCCCATTTACCATTGCAACAAAAAAATAAAGATACTTAGGAATAAACTTAACCAAGGAGATAAAAGTCCTGTACTAAGAAAACTACAGGACCTTGGAAAAAGTGATTGAAAAAGATATACACAGGTGGAAGAATATACCGTGTTCATGGATTGTTAGAATTAACATCATTAAAATGTCCATACTACCCAAAGCAACCTATAGATTCAATACAATCCCTATTATCATACCAATGGCATATTTCACAGTTCCAGAACAAACACTCCAAAAATTTATATGGAACCAAAAAAGACCGTGAACATCAGGAGCAATCTTGAGAAAGAAGAACAACGTTGGAGGGATCCTAATATCGGATTTCAAGTTATACTACAAGCCTTTGTACTCAAAACAGCCTGGAACTGGCACAAGAACAGGCATATAGATCATTGGAACAGAACATAGAACCCAGAAATTGGCCTAAGCCGTTAGGCTCAATTGATATTTGACAGTGGAGGCAAGAGCATAAAATGAACGAAAGAAATAGAAAACCGAAAAGTCATTAGTAAAATGTTGCTTCAACGGTATGAAAGAAAGCCTTTTTGCATCGAATTGTGACTGGCGATGAAAAGTGGATTTGTTTTAAGAATCCCAAACACACAAAATCATGGGTTGATCCAGGTCAACCATCAACATCTACTGCAAGGCCAAATCGCTTAGGAAAGAAGCCAATGCTCTGTGTTTGGTGGGATCAGGAAGGTGTGGTGTATTATGAGTTTCTAAAACCAGGTGAAACTGTTAATGCTGATCGCTACCAACAGCAAATAATCAATTTGAACCACACTTTGATTGTAAAATGACCAGAATGGGCCAGAAGACACGGCAAAGTAATTTTGCTTCATGATAACGCACCATCACACACTTTAAAACCAGTTAAAGACACGTTAAAAGATCTTGCCTGGGAAGTATTAACCCACCTGCTGTATTCACCAGACCTTGCTCCTTCATATTACCACTTGTTCTGATCCATGGCACACGCACTTTCTGAACAGCACTTCAAAAGGTCCAGAGAAGTGGAAAATTGGGTCTCTAAATGGTTTGCCTCAAAACAAGAAAAGTCCACGAATTACCTGAAAGATGAGGGAAATGTGTAACTAGCGATGGACATTACTTTGAATAAAGCACTTTTGATGTTTCTCTTGAAATTATCGTGTTTTCTTTGATTACAAAATCCTCATTATTAACCAGCACACCTGGTAAATCAACAAATAACAACTGCTGGCAAGGATGAGAAGGAAAAGGAACCCTAGTACACTGCTAGTGGGAATGCAAACTAATACAACCACTATGAAAAACAGTGTGGAGTTTCCTAAAAGAATTAAAAATGGAACTGCCATTTGACCCAGTGTTCCCACTTCTAGGAACATATCCTAAGAAGCCAGAAACACCAATTAGAAAGAATACATGCACTACTATGTTCATAGCAGCACAATTTACATTAACTAAGATCTGGAAACAGCCCAAGTGCCCATCAGTAGGTAAGAAAACTGTGGTACATTTGCACAATGGAATACTATGCAGCTGTAAAATAGAGGGATCTCTTACCCATTGAGACAGCATGGAGGGGCCTGGAGAGCATTATTCTAAGTGAAATAAGCCAGGCAGAGAAAGACAAGTATCATATGATCTTATGTATATATGGGATCTAATGAACAAAATAAACTGACAAGCAAAATAGATCCAGAGGCATTGAAGCATGCAACACACTGAAGTATTTCAGAGGGTAGCGGGGGAGAGGTGGGAAGAGTTTAACCATAGAACTTATCTGCATATATGCATAATCCATGGACACAAACACTAGTGTGGTGAAGGCCTGAGGAGGGTGTAGGAGAAGTGTGGAGGGGGTCAATGGGGGGAAAAGGGGGAATTTATAATACTTTGAACAATAAAGATAAAAAAACACAAATAAATAAATAAATAAATAAATATAAATAAATTTAGGAAAAAAATAGCAAAGTGGCACGTGTGCCCATCATGGTCCTCCTGCTCAGCCCATGATAACGCACCATCACACACTTTAAAACCAGTTAAAGACACGTTAAAAGATCTTGCCTGGGAAGTATTAACCCACCTGCTGAGGTGGGTGCTCAGTGCTGGCACATCCCAGCAGGCAGACCAGCAGCACCGTCCAGGCCTGGACAGTGTGCCCTTCTGGAAGTGCTGCCCGTATGCCCCAGCCCATCCTCACAGAAGCTCACTAGTTCTCAGGCTGCCCAGAGGGAAGAGTTCAGGCTGCACAGGTTTGCTTCCAGGGACTGCAGGTTATGGGGCCTGCAGACTCAGCAGGCAAAGGCCACAGGAGTCCCAAGTTTGGAACTGCTTCTGTCAGTTCATGCATGTGAAGGCCAGACACTGGTGTGGGGGCAGGAGATAGTCAAGGGTGGCATAGGGTATGTGGGGGGTGACAAAGGATAGAAAGGACTGGCTTAGGCCCAACCACAGTGGCATTGCTCCCAACTGGGCTTCCCCAAGATGGGAAAGTACAGAGGCTCTTTGTTGGGTCCTGGGAGGCTTAGCATGTGAGCCTGCTGTGGCTGACCTTGCAGTCCTCACACCACTGCCCTTGGCCCTGGCAGGCTGAAAGGCAGTAGGGAGAAGTCTTTTGAGAGCTGTATTTGGAGCCCAGGTGAGGAAGCTGGGTGTGAATTCTAACAATGACCTAACCAGGCTTCTCCAGCACTCCCTCCTGCCTTCCCAACAACTCTCTTAGATAGTCTTGCACTGGCCTGTGGTAGCTTTAAACATGGCTCCCAATTCCTTGGCACCCCTCCCTGTGAATCTGGGCCAGATGGTGGCTGCTTCCACCAGTAGCACACAGGGCAAATGAGGCCGGGTACCTGGGCTCAGGTATAAAAGGCAGGCAATGTGGGCCACCTCCGGGACTGCCATGCTTGGCTCTGTGGTTATAATACTGCTGAATATGGCCCTCTAGACATCACTGCCCTGGTGCCAGATGTATGTGACCATGTCGATGACAATTCCACCTCAGAGTACATCCCCCTGCCACCATTGTCCAGCCCTTAGCCGGGGTCCCAGGCACCCTGGAACAGGGACAGCCAGCCCTACAGTGCCCTGTCTGTGTTCCACACCCCAATCAGCAAACAACATAAAATGGCTGTTTTGCACAGCGTTAGTAACTAGAACACTGTCTCAGCATCTGTGCTGAAATGAGACTAATGCCGAGTGCCTTGCCAATGAAATGAATGCTAAGCAACAAGAACAAGGGTTTGCCCTAGTGAATAGCCAGGTACAATGCCTTAGAGGGGCCCTTGGCAGGACATGGCTCCACGTTGGACAAAGTCTGGTGCGCATCCAGCTTTGCTTGCTTTGTTTTGGATTTTGTTTTCATGAGAACATTCCTATCTCTGGGCCTGGAACATTTCCTGAGCCAGGTTTGGAAGGGGGTGGTGGTGGCCAATTCCCCTTTGTTGATGTTGCTTCCTAGAGCTGCCAGGAGCTCATGGGATGGGCACAGCTTCCTGCTACGAGTCAATGAACCACTGCCTGTCATTTTTTTAAAGGTGTAGAGGAAGAGGAATGGCAAACAACAATGTAAGAAAATTTATAGGGCAACTCCTGGATTCACCTTGGAATTTCTTTACAGAAAAGAGGGAAAACATTCCTGCTGTTTATTTTTTTCCCAGTGGGAAGGAGAATACACACAACATTCAGAGCTGTTGGGGTCAGTCAGCATCCGTTTTGCAATCTGAATCGATTCTATATATAATCCACAGCTTTAAGGTGGCTCAGAAGTGCATGTGAACTCACTCCACATCTCTCTTCATATCAGTTACTTCAATTTGCCAGTTTATGGGACTGACACCTTAGGTCAAGTTGTATTACATTGGTCCTAGAGTTACATTGTCCAAGATCACGCAGACATGGAGGGACAGTCCCAGGGCTTGGATGCCAACGTCTTGGGTTGCAAGCAGCAGACAATAAAGCATCATTACAATAAAGGGAAGGATTTGAACCTAGAACTTGGTGAGAGTTTAATCTGTTTTAAAAAAAAGTGATTAAAGAAGACAAACAAACTTTATTTAACACTTCATGAAGCAGGAGGTCGCTGTTCCCCAGGGCCCAAGACCTGCAAAATAGGGTGAAAGTGGGAAGCTTTTGTAGGATAAAGAACAAAGAACAAGGACAAAAAAAGATAGAAAACAAATAAAGAACAAAGAAATAAGAACAGACCCCAGAGTTGGCTTTGGCATTTGGGGACTGGCTGGCTGACTGGATATACCGTGTCTCTGGTCAAGCAGAGCATTACAGGGACGCCAAAGTCATCAAAGTTTTGTTTTGCTGACATGGCACCTCAGGCAGGAGTGGCTCCTTCTTGAGCCTAGAAGTATATTTCCATAACCCCAAGTGCCACCACTCATATTAATGAACTCCAATGACTTCTTGTCTTTTTATCTCTGTCCCTTGCCTTCCCCTGTACAAGTGGAATTGTGATTCAAAGGCCAGAGATGCTCCTAAATGGTGAAGAGCTCACTCAGGCTAGCACATGTCTGGTGACTGTCCCTTAACTAATGGAAGGCATAGCACCTAGAGCAACCATCTCCCCAAAGCACATCCCATGGGAGAGAAGTAATTTCCATCCTGCCTCCTGCCAAACTGGGATGCTATTACCAAACAAGGTGAAACGGATGCTGGGTTTCATACTCCTGCTAGGCTCCGTACATATGGAAGATATCACCTCTCTCCTCTTGAGGAATGCCCCTACCAAGAGGGAAGCATGCCTGCGGGGCCAGAGAGAAGGGGCTTGTCCTTGGACCAATGTGGCCCAGCTGGAACCAAACTTCAAACCCAGAGAGATTGTAATTGCCTATTATTTATTACTTTCTAGGCCTCTTTATAAGGCATTTTGCATGAGCCACAGATTTGATAACAAATATAATAAAAGTGGGGCAAATGCTGTTCAGTGTAACAATATGGGATGATGATGTAAGCTATGTAGTAAACAAGAGTAGCTATTGAGCTATATAAACTTTTTATAGGAATCTTAAATAGGTCTGATACCAGATGTATAGCAAATACACTCACTTTATGAAAATGCCTTTTCTTTGAAAAGGGGAAATGATCTATAACATAGAGTTATATGCATGTTGCTCACCTGGGCTTTATTTTGTGCTTTTCGTATGATTTGTTTAACTCTCTTTTAAAAAAAAAAAGTTCTTATTGATTTTAGAGAGGAGAAAGGAAGAGAGAGAGAAAGAAACATCAATGTGAAAGAAACATCAACTGGGACCCTGACCAGGAATCAAATCAGAAACAGGTGACCTCTCGGTGCATGGGAGAGCAACCAATGATAACCAGTGACCTCTTGGTGTATGGGACAATGCTCAGCCCACTGAGCCACACTAGCCAGGGCTGTTTAACTCTAAATAGAATAGACGCAGTCTGGTATTCCTTTGTTTGGAGGTGCCCAAACTACATTACAGAAAAGTTGAGTTATTTCACTACCTCTGGTCCTAACTCTGGTCTACTAGTCTGTGAGTCTGAATTACATAGTCACCAAAAGAATGAAGTGTGTCACCTGAAAATTAGTGTCCTTTCTGAGACCTATGATTTTGGAGAGATCTAGAATTTTCTGTTTCATAAAATTGTGAAGGCAGAATTGTTTGACAGACTTCATTTGGTTTGACATCTCCTAAGAAAGCCAAGACCTGACAGACCCCTTTAATTATGTGGTTCTCCCCATCCCGATTCCTCACCTTCCACACAAGGTAACCACCATCCTGAGCCTGTGTTCACTATGCTCTTGCTTTCATCCTCACATATCATCATTTCATCAATACCTACTATTTTAAACAATATAAATCAAGCTGGTTGATAGATATGGGAGTATGTGTCCCTATTTGAATGTCTTAAACCAAGCATGTCAAACTCATGGCCCACAATGAATATTTTTGTAGCCCAGCCAATATAAAGGTATGTAAGAAATGTTTTAATAAAAATTTTGTAACTTAATTTTTACAATATTCTGTTATACATAATTATTAATAATGAACTACAACATTCACTAATGACTGATTAC